CCCTATTTTCTTCTCTCTATTCACCTTGACCTCTGATGTTTAAAAATGGAGCTATATCTGTCCAAGTGCCAAGTACCATAGGATGCAATAGCATATTCATTTAATCCTTCTCACAACACTAAAGGGTAGAAGAACTGTTGTTATTGCCCATGTTACTGAGGAAACTGAGGCCCAGAAAGGTTAGATAACTTGCCTAGTAAGTGGTAGGGGAAAATTTGAACCCAGGATGTTTTTGTTCCTTCTGTGGGGTACCTGCGGTAAAAACATGTGAGACATGCTTACTTTGTTATTTTGGTGATACTAATCGTGAATAATGAGTTACAGTAGAAGACAGACTAGTTAAGTAGCAGAATTGGTGCCCCCAATAGGTGTTGCAGACATTCGAGAGAAAACAAAGACTAGTCAAGACCAAGTAGCTCTGAAAGTAACTTGTCATTATTTACTTAAAACTGAAATGCCTAGGAAAAGTTTTAAAATTCCAAAATACTAAATGTCAATACTGGAAACAGTTTGTTGATTGCAGTATCTTGATTTTTACTTGTGACTCACGATACTGGTGAATGTTATCTCTTACTGATTCCAGTTTACTCCCAGATTATTTTGAATATTTACACATTTTGGGAAACTCCATTTGTAGAACTTTTACCTGTGATGTAAATTAATAAAAAATATGTTGCACGATGCTGATTTAATATCTAGTGGGTTTATGAAGGGAGGAAGTAGCACAAGTTGTATTCTTTTATAGTCTTTAAGTGTTACTCCTTTCAAGTTTTAGGCTAGACAAAATAGCCTTTATTTTCTTTACATAATCCAGTCAGTGCAGTTGATACCTTCGTACAAATAATAACTTGCTAATTTAATGTAAGCTTAGAGTGGATTAATTTCAGTGATTGGCTGTCAGCAGCTTTGGAGGGTTTTAGCAGTTCTGGTTAGGAGAAGCTCTGTGGCAGTACCATTAACAGAGCATTTGTGCCGCTAAGCCTTCAATTCTTCCTCAGCTGTCAACACTTGGGCACTTTCTGGAGCCAGCTTCTCTCATGCTGTGCACTGCCTGCAGCTCGCCGGAAGCTCGACTTTGACTAAAAGGGTTGATTTCTCCTCTTTTACCCTTGTTCTCATTTAGTGATAAAACCTGCTTAAAGTCCTCCTTTTATTCTGAAAAGTACACACGCACGTGTCATCTCTTAAACCATTCTGATGTCGAGTCGAGGTAAGGCGCTCCAAAGAAATGCTAGACTTCTTAACGAATAATTGATTAGAAAGGAGTCTGGCAGTGTTAATTGTGAGCTGTAGCATAATGAATGCCGAAACAGCTTTCTGGATCTTTCCAGAAACGGGGTAAGATTGTTAGTACTGAGCAATATGGGCAGTGTGCTAAGGTGGATTTTAAAGGGATCTTTTTTTATTTTCAAACCATGATAGGCTTTTCAGTTGTTTTGCCACTTGCAGTAGTTGTTTGATTCAAGACTCATTTGTTAAGAACTGTGCATTGGCTTTTTGTGGTGGTTTTGTTTTGTTTTTAGTATTTGTCTTCCTGGAGCCACTTTGTGGATATTTATTTATTAGACATAATTGGCAAGGTGGGGTGGACACATGAGCCTAAAGAACTTGAATTTATGAATACAGAGAAGCATCCACGTTGGTCAAGATGATGAACTCTTGTCAACTATCCCAACGCAGCACTCCAAAGCAGGAGCTCTCATTCCTGGAGGATGGAGGGTCTATTTGGAATTTAAATGATTCTTTTTAAGGAAGATTATAGGAAAGAGCTCTCAAATTTTATTATACAGAACACATTACAAATAGTTTTAAAATAGAACTGGCATTCAGTGTCTTTATTAAAAAAGACTGCACAAACAATTGAGGTTTTGTGGATAGCAGTATCTAATACATTAGTAAGCAGCCACATGTGGCTAATTAAATTTAAACTGAAATTAATTTAAAAATTAAATAAAGTTGAAAATTTAGTTCTGTAGTTTACCACTAACCACTATTCAAGCTTAGTAGCTACACGTGACAGAGGCTGTTGTATGTATTGAACACTTCAGATTATAGAACATTTCATTACAGAAAGTCCTACTGGACAACACTGTACTGGACAATAATAAGGACAGTCAACAGAAATATTTGTTTGTTTCTTTACTTTGTCTTGTTTGCTGTCTTTGGTTTTTGATGGTAGTTCCAACTTTGAAATGTTCCTTCATGGAAGAAAAAACTATTGAAGAATTAATGTGAAAATTTTGATGTTTATCTTGACACCATACTATTACGATACCTAACAGCTCATAGATGAATAGAACATTATTTCAAGAACTAGGGAACTGAGGAAATGCCTTTCAGATGAGCTAAACCATGTTTTTAATGTGAGTAGCAGAATATGCCTTGCTTACAGGTTGGGCAGAAGAGAAAAACATCTGAACTAGAATAAAACTTTCTTTTCCTCTAGCCTTTTACAACCCAAGAACATTTTTGAAACAGGAAACTCAAAAAAATTTGGCCATGATAAAGGAAAAGGCAAAATCAAGAAAATCTGGTGCAAAAATATAATGAATTAAGAAAATAAATAGAAAATAAATAAATAAATAAATAAACAAACAAGCCTGTTTTGTTATGAAAATAGTAAATGTCCATTACATAGAACTTATAAAGTATGCACAATTAGATAAAGTTTGTTTGGAATTGCATCAGTCAACAACTATGACTTTTAACAATTTGTTGTGTTTTCTAGTCTTTCAAAATTGTGATAATGCTGGTGATACAGCCAACATCAGTACTAAGTATGACCTAGTGTATGCTCTGAGCTCCTCAGACATTTTTTAAAATTTAACACTTATAGCAGTCCCAAGAAGCAGAAATCCTAGGTCTTTCACCCCTTTTCTTCATTAAGAAACAAAAAACTCTGGAAATCAAGAGCAAAACCAAATGTGTTTGAGTCAAAGCAAGATCTAACCTGATATGATATGAGTCTGTTTTATTCTTCTTTTTAAAAATATTTTTAGTTGTAGATGGACATGAAATCTTATTTGATATCTTTATTTTTTTAATTTTTATGCGGTGCTGAGGATTGAACCAAGTGTCTCACACAGGCTAGGCAAGCGCTCTACCACTGGGTCACAAGCCCAGCCCTGAGTCTATTTTATTCTTTATTTATGTAATTGGACATGAATCCGAGTAGAATATATTTTGCTATAGAATGTAATGTGTTTGATTATGGAGTGCTTCCCCATACACCATTGGCAAGGTTACGTAACATATATAGCCTTTCAAAAATCTGACAAATCTGAAACCCATCTGACACCGAGCTTTGGGTACGATGGAAAACTGCAAACCTTCTAGAGCTTGAGCAAAACTCTTAGATACTGATAACATGCTAACCATTTAGTAAGGCAATTCTAATTTGCTCACACTTCAAGACTTAAATTTAATTATCTAATGCCAAAAACTCTGTTAACTGTGCATTAAGTAGAGGTCAACTTTAGAATGTGGTAATAAAGTCAGCTGCTATCAACTATGATGTACTAAAATATTTTGCTATATACTTTGTAATTTTTAAATTGAATGATTTTTACCATATCTTACAAAGTTAGGTATCAAGTTAAAATTGAAAGTTGAAATTCAAACATAGATAGTTGACAAAAAGAAAGCAAATATCTGTAATATTATTGTCTGCATTCAGTAGTTACATAAATATAAGATGGTGTTTTGATTTGTACTTTGGTTCCAGAAATATGAAAGATATACTTAATGAACAATTTTGGAAGGCTTTTTATATGTTCCCTGTATTTACCGAATCTTAAGCAACATAAGGTGATCTTATTGTACACTCATCAGAGAAAGAATTACCCTTTCTGTTGATACTTTGACTAATTCATGGACTTCATGACAAATTGCCACCAAAATTGGACATCTGCTGTTCTGAGTGGTCTGCTTCATTGGGAGTAGAGGGAGAGAGGGAGTATCTCCCTAATGAGAGTAGTATTAAAAAATCAAATGGAATGGCTTCCATTGTGTATTGGTGTTGGCTTTTTTTTTTTTTTCTTTTTTCCCTTAAGCTATGCAGTTGTCAGGAACTTAGACAAGCAAGCTTGAATCAGCAACCTAATCCTTTTTACCACTTTTACTTTGACTACCCCATTTTAATTGTCTATCAAAATAATTCTTCTGAAGCCTCTGAATCCATTCGCCTTATATTAAAAAACACAATCTCGAGTAGTTTGAGATAAGTAGCAAAGTGTTTGTCCACCTAAAACATCTTCTACTATGTCATCGGCTATTTTGTAGAAATGCAATCATCTTTCAGTTTACCCAGTTCATATTCATTATGGACCAACAACATGTGAGACATAATTACACCTGGTACTGTGGAAGAAGGTAAAAGACAACTAATGTATGCACTTTCAAGGAGTTCAGAAAAGACAAAGATCATGGCAATAGTTGCAATAGTAATAGTAACAGCCCATTAACTGATATTATATGAACACAGATAGCCTTGGCTAACCTGAAGTTATGGTGACTAATTGGGGAGCCTTGTACAGTGATAGAAGAGAAAAAGAATGGTGGCCTAGAGTAAGGTCGTAGCAGTGGGAAGGAAGAGGATGAAATATATATTGCAATGTTATTTGAGAGATAGAGCATCCTTTGGTGAGTAACTAGCAGATGAAGGTGAGCAAGAAAGGAGATAAGGCTGACTCCTAGATTTATAGTTTGAGATCACTGGATGGTTATCAAAAAAAAAAAAAAAAGATTGGAAATATGAACCCAACTCTATAAGGACAGTTGTGGGAGATCAACTCTGTTGTAGCTATGAATGGGCCATTGTTAGGTAGGTAGTGACAGAGCAGGATGGGAAAATACTTGTACCTCCCTGATCTGCACTTTTTCACTAAGACACAAAAACTCCAATAGCAAATTCCATGTCTAGGAAAATCAACTTATAAGAGATGAACATCTTTTTTTTTTTTTTTTTTTTTTAAAAAGACACATTTATTCAGCGTCATGATCAGACTATTACATTTAGCAATCAACAGCATGGGTGCAAAAAAAAAAAAAAAGTCTACATTAAAACCCTTTGTTGGAATGCTTTACACTTTCCACAGAACAGAAACTAAAATATCCTGTTATACAATTAGTCACAAATACAGTCCTCGAGTTTTTTTTGCCCATACACATGAGTATTGTCTAAACCATGTCTTCTTTGTAGCAGCTAGGCCCTGCCACCACTGTGCTTGGCTGAGTTCACAAATCTGTTGTAACCTGTAGCTTCCCTGTCACTTCTCTGGCTCTCCTCTCCTGCTAAGCTTTGTTTCTTACCTGGCAGTATTAAAACCTTCTGCCACTGCCATAGCTACTGCTGCTGCTGGAACCGCCATAGCCACCTTGGTTTCGTGGTTTGGCAAAATATTGGCCTCCACCACCGTAAGGTCCAGAGCTTCTGCCTCCAAAGTTTCCACCCTTCATGGGTCCAAAATTTGATGACTGATTGTTGTAACTGCCAAAATCATTGTAGCTTCCACCACCTCCAAAATTGCTTCCATCATTACCAAATCCATTGTAGCCATCCCCGCTGCCACCATATCCACCACCACCACGACTGCCACCAAAGCCACCACGACCACTGAAGTTCCCTCCACGACCGAAATTGTCATTTCCACCAAAACCACCTCCACGACCACCACCGAAGTTTCCAGAACCACTTCGACCTCTTTGGCTAGATGAGGCACTAGCCATCTCTTGCTTTGACAGGGCTTTCCTCACTTCACAGTTGTGGCCATTCACAGTATGGAATTTCTGAATGACAATCTTATCCACAGAGTCATGGTCATCAAAAGTTACAAAAGCAAAGCCCCTTTTCTTTCCACTGCCTCGGTCAGTCATGATTTCAATAACTTCTATTTTCCCATACTGTTCAAAATAATCTCGTAGGTGATGTTCTTCAGTGTCTTCTTTAATGCCACCAACAAAGATCTTTTTCACAGTTAAGTGGGCCCCTGGTCTTTGAGAATCTTCTCGTGAGACAGCTCTCTTTGGTTCCACAACTCTACCATCCACTTTGTGTGGTCTTGCATTCATGGCTGCATCCACTTCCTCCACAGTGGCATAAGTGACAAACCCAAAGCCTCTGGAGCGCTTGGTGTTTGGATCTCTCATTACCACACAATCCGTGAGTGTTCCCCATTGCTCAAAATGGCTTCTCAGACTCTCATCAGTTGTTTCAAAGCTCAGCCCTCCGATGAATAGCTTCCGCAGCTGTTCGGGCTCTTTAGGGGACTCTGATTTAGACATGACGGCAGCAGGAAGACAGACTTTAACGATGCTTTCTCAGCGGCGTACACGGGCAGAAAGGAGTAAGCTAACGAACGTATCCCAGAGATGAACATCTTTGTGTGGATTGCCCTAGGGCATTCAACATATATTCATTAATGGGAAGTATTCTGATTCTGTATAACTATGTCATATCTATAATAAACTTAGCTATTAATCAGGAGTGTCTCATATATTCACTAGGAGGATTGTTCATTTAAAACAGACATGATATACTTACTTCTCAAATGAATCTTCACAGCCCAGCCAAGTATAACTGATTTATTGAAGAATCTAGCCTATTGGTTGTAAGCAGAAAGCAATATTAAAATAATTCATTAGCATCCCTTTATACTTGTTCAGAGAATTTATTCCTTCCTCTTTTTGGGTAAAATATCAGAATGAACCTATATTTTTTCTAGACATTTTCAGGTACTAACATAGCCAGTCTGCTAGAGAAAAACATAGGGCAATACCTTAAATCACAAAACAGATTGATTAGTGGGACTTCACTGAAATTAAAAACGTCTATTTTATTATAAGCCAGGCAAAGTTGGGCACCCCTGTATTCCCAGTGACTTGGGGGGCCTCTTATATATACCTCATATACCTCAACTGTCCTTATAGAATTGGGTTCATATTTCCAATCTATTTTTCGGTAACCACCCAGTGATCCCAAACTACAAACCTAGGAGTCAGCCTTATGGCCTTTCTTGCCCTCCTGCATCTGCTGCTGTGACCAAAAGACATGACAAGAACAATTTTAGAGAAGGGAAAAGTTTATTTGGTGCTCATGGTTTCAGAGGTCTCAATCCATGGCTCCATTGCTCTGGACCCAAAGTGAGGCCGAACATCATGGCAGAAGGGTGTGGTAGAGAAAAGCAGCTCAGGACATGGACCAGGAAACAGAGAACTCCTTTCACCTCAGACAAAATATCAAGCCCAATGGCACGCCCCCAGTGACCACCTTCTTCAACCATGACCTACCTGTCTACAGTTACCTCCTCGTTAATTCCTAGCAGAGGATTAATTCACTGATTTGGTGAAGGCTCTAATAACCCTATCATTTTACCTCTAAGTTTTCATGCATTGTCTTGCATACGAGCTTTTGGGGGAAACCTCATATATAAACCATAATAATGAGCTACTGCCCCCCCACAAAAAAGTGGTTAACTGTCACAGACAGTACTGAGAAAAACAAGCCAGATACAAAATGAGTTCTTACATATGATTTCATTTATGTGAAGTTCAAGATAAGAAAAATTAATCTGTGATGATAAAAGTCGGGTATCTTTGGCAGGGTGGTTATTGACTCAAAGGAAGTATAAGGAATCTTTCTGGAGTACTAGAAATGTTTTATATTTGGATCTGGCTTGTGCTTTCACAGGTATGTGTAAGTATGCATGAGATATACATGTAAATTTTGCACTATGTTTTACTTCAGTAAACAAAAAGCCCACTTAAGTCTAATGCAGAACTTCAGTCTCAGATTACCAAGTAAAACCTTTGCCCCGTTTCTCTTTTCCCACATCAGCTCATAATCAAAGTCTGCAATAGAGAAAAAGAATTGTTATGTTTCTTTTCTCATCATTGGTTCACCTTCTTTTCCATTCTTGAGCTATGTCTTTGTCCCTTTTAGGATCAGGGAGATGGAGAAGGAAGGATTAGAGAAGAATGGGCAAAGTCTCATGTGTCTCCAGTTGTAACCTGGCATCAATGCCCTTTGATGTCCACGTTTCCAAAACCTGGATCTTTCTCTTGTGGGGTTGCCCCTGGGAGGTTTCCAGTGATCCTACCTCATTAGGAGCAGCCTAAGCTAACGTTAGGCATGGACAGTGGTCCTCTTGGAACTTCAACACCAGCTCTGGGCTCCTAGTGATCTACCTCTTTAGGTGGAGAACTGGTCAGTATGACTCAAGTCCAGCTCTTTGGATTACTTGACTTGCGGGTAAACTGACATGGCTTTGCCTGGCCAGTGGAGAACTCTCACTTGCTTCCATTGTAGCCTTCTCCCCTTCCAGTCTCTCATGCTCAAGGTTTCCAGGAGGGAATTGGGTCTACTCCCTAGCGTTCTCCCTGCTTCCCCAAATTACAGAAGACAAGTGGTTCTCTGAAGCACCCCTCTAACACCTTGGAGAGGGGATTGGGTATCTATAGTCCAGTGTCAACTCTCATCAAAGAAATTCCTCCCACCAGTCTTCCTTCTACCTTTTGTGTAGCTGGAAATTGGATAATGGGTTATGGTAGAGCACAGCTGTTGGGTTTTTGTTGTTGTTTTTGTACTAGGGATTAAGCCCAGGGATTCTTGAGCTACATCTCCCGACATCCCCAGCCCTTTGCATTTTTAATTTTGAGACAGTGTCTCACTAAGGTGCGTGGGGCCTCCCTAAATCACTGAGACTAACCTCAAACTTGCCATCTTTCTGCCTCAGCCTCTTGAATCACTGGGATCACAGGCACGTGCCACTGTGCCCAGCACTGTTATTCTTTTAAGCTAGATAACAAATGAAAGGTTTCTGACTAGAAAGAGAAGTCGTCGTCTCCCGACCCCCCCCCCCTTCTCTGCTAGTTACATGAACCTTTTGCAAGTGAAAAGAAGCTTTCTGGAATCCCAAATACTGTGCAGTTGTTTTTGTTCTGTAAATGTTTCACTTCAAAAATATTCTGGTAGAAAATAAACATTGGTAAAATATAGGTTTATCTTGGATTCATACACACATTCACATGCACAGACATCATTGGGACTTTCTAAGTAGTTGCAAATTACTCTCTAAGTCAGGCATGCACACACACACATACACACACTCAGAACAAAGTGCACAGTTAGTGTGATTTACTTTTTCTTTCTTCTGATGATGTGACTGTCATCCCCTTTCTTTTAGTAAAGCAGCTTTCTTTAGTTATAGGCTGTGGGTAGAACAGAGAGAGAGGGCTATAAGATTCATTGTAAAGGTGTGTCACTTTCTTTTGGAAATTTTTAATGTAGGTACACTGTATTTGAAGTTAAACCAGCTATAGTAAAATAAACACAAACCTAGAGTTAGAAAGCTGTGTATTTAAATCCCAGTTCTTATAACATCTGCCCATTTGTTTACTCAACAAGTTTATTGAAGGATTACTTTATGCCAGATACTGTTGTAGACACAGAATACAGGGTCGGGTGGGGTCTCTTGTAGAACTTATTTGGGGTTGGGGTAGGAAAACAGTGAGGCAAACAGATAATAAGCAAATAGCTAAATATAATGTCAAGCAATAATAAGTTTTATGGACAAAAATAAAACAAGATAAGGCACTAGAAACTGGTAGTGGAGGAAACATAGGGGACAGGGCATGGGGTAGTAGTATTGGTTGGGTGGTCAGGGAAAGCATTATAGATACCTGACTAAAGTGAGAGAGTAAGATCTAGAGGAAGAAGGTAAAAGAGAGGAATAGAATATTCCAGAAACCAAAGTGTTTGAAGAAGAAGGACATCAAAAGGTATTGAGTGATGGAATAATAAGACAATCTCTCAGTAGCCATGTGACCCTATTTATTTACCTTTTAAAGTAATAGTCAATAAATTATTTTTGAGTGTTGAGATAATTGATTTAACATGGTTGACAGTGTCACATGATAGACAGTGATTTACATCACTTCAGACAGATTACTGAAGATTTTCTTCACATTTTATCTATGTAATAAAATAGAAGTTAAAAAAAATTCATAGCGAAAGATTTTTTAAGTGGTCTCAAGTCAGTTTCTAAATGTGCAAAATGTTTAATTAACCAAGTATGTAAGCCAAAATATGGAAGTCAATAAGTTTAGCTGTAATAGTTGTGGATTTGTAACTTTGTCTTTTTTAATGCACTATATTAGTAACAACTGGATGTGTAACAATTTGATGAGTTTTGGGTCCAACTGACAGGGGTTTAAATATGTTGGAATTTGTCATGCACAACCTGGCAGAAACCATTTGTTAAAAAAAAAATAAGAGCTGAGAAAATCAAATGTTTCAGCACTCATTGAGGTCTGTTTTGCTAAATTATACTTTCTGTGAATGATCAGCAAATTATGCCCATTTTAAATCTAAGAAATAATGGAATTGATTTGGTTCTCATCTGTTTCAGGCATTTCCTAATGTCTTAGCATTGATTTTTAAACATGCTTTCAATTTTACAGAATATAGCTGAAGACTGTGGCGTGTGACCTAACCTAGACAGTTATGACAAAATGAAAGCACTACACACTCTTTAAAGTGATATGAAATCAGAATGTCCTTGGCTACCTCACAATATTAAATGCCAACTAAATTGTTTTATAGAAATCAGGCATTAAAAATTCTACCTTGAAGCTGTTAAAGAATGAAGATGTATATTCAAGAACGTGTGGCTCTGGAAATTTCACATGCATTTAAATGATATGTTTTTATGTACTGTAGTTTTCTCCAGAAGAAATCTGTATGCTTTCTGAAAACATGACTCTTAGATGTTTAAAAGCCTGTCAGATACCTTAAAGTCATTTTACGTAAAGTAAATCATTTTTCCAAATTTTCTCAAGCCCATTTATGTAGGTACTGAGAGAGAACAAGAGTTCTTTTTCATGTTTAAATACACAACACACCAGCTGCTACCCTAGCTATCCACTGGAGAAGGAGCAAATAACTAAATTTCTGCAGCAATGTATAGAACTAAATTTATTGAAATCCCAGTGAAAGCTTTTGCTGTGCTTGGTATAGTAGGGAAAATTCCATAAGATATCTTAGATTGCATTTTGTTCATGTTGATCTTCATAGTCCTGTGCTCCCAGGTCAGTTTGTAAACATGCTTCATTCATTTAGGATGAAAACCCACACCTCAGAAGCCAGTCCATTTTGGTAATTTCAAGACATTCTATTTCAAATAACACAACTACTCCTTGTTGTAAACCCCGAATCCATTGGATTTGGTTCAGGGAGGCTGGAGCTTGGTGACCCCATTTGTTATTTTTCTGCAAATATGTGGATTTGTATTCTGAAGTGTGTGGTTTTGATGAGCCAATGTCAGCCTTTCTTGTATCTATTTGCAAGGCT